TTTGAGAGCACAAACACAATCTTTAAATAATTAATATGTTCTGTTCAGGAACATGTTAATTATTAAGAATTATCGCGAAAATTGGATGAAAAAGCCCTGCTCTATCTTAGTACTTATTTCGTCGATAAATCTAATCAGAGGGATAAGTAAAAAAGAAAGAGTAAAAAGAATATATGATGGAGAAGAAAGGGAAGCGGATCGATTGAAATACTTGAAGATCCCAAGACCGATTAAATTTTATAAACGCGACTCAGCTTCAGAGAATAATTAATTACTATATAGATTCTACTCTTTTTGTAACTATCAATTTTTAATTTAAAATAGATTAAAAATTATATTTAAAAAATAAAAAACTTGTATATTCTTGATTAAACTCGAACCGAAATTGTAAAAACAAATCAAAAACACTTAAATTCATATGTACAGTTACGTATGCACCGAGAATATGCATTTCTGCGCATTAACGTTAAGAAGATACTCGTACATTGACATTTCTGGTTTCATCGGCGGTTACGCCGACGCAGCGGTTTACAAGTTGACTTAAACTTTCGTCATTCCCGCAGATTCACATTTACACGGATGACATCTCTGACGTGTATTCTCGAATATCGCCCGAATATCTGCCGAAAGACTTTGGTGGGGAATTGGACTGTATCGCAAACCTTCATAGTAAGTACAACGGCAACTCTTGCGCAACAGTAAATAGCACCAAAAGATATCTACAACATGTTAAAGACTTTATAAAAGAATTTATCTTATTATTAGAATTACTTTGTTGATCGAAAACTATAACATCGTATATTAATAATGATTGTTTTTATTTATAGAAGCAAACTGTATGACATTAGATCAATTGCAGAATTATTTCAGCGAGGAGGAAGCTCTGTTCCGCAATTATTCGCCTAATAATGTCAAGACAGCGAGTTAAAAATTTTAATCAGACGCTACTAAAAATCTAAAAAATTATGTGCAATATACAGATGTTACAAATAACATAAGTCACTTGTAATGTATAAATCATATAGCAATTGTTATTGCTTTCTAATTCTCTCGCAAATAATTACATGCTTGATTTCATAGCAGATGTACTCCTCATTCTCCGTATTTCTTTCTACATTTTTGCATGAAATTAAATATATACATTAGAAAATGAAGAATTTTTTCCAAGGTCCCTTTTGATAAACATAAAATAAATACATATATAAGAGTTTTTAAAAATAGAGTTACAAAAGATTTAGGAAACGTTGTTCCAAAACTGCATATTAATTCTCAATAAGAAGTTTAATTCTATTTTGAATTTTAAGTTAAAATGTGTATAACTTTATAAAAAGTTAAAATTAAGATATATAAGATTTTCTTTTTTTCTCATAATAACTTCGACAAACCACTGCGTTTTTCAAATATAAATAAAACACGAACTGAATATCATAAATTTATAGTATAAAGACAACTGGAATTTATTATAATTTTCTTCTAAAATAAAATGACTTGAAATATATTAATAGATATATCCAAAATTAGACTTCAAATACCATATTTAAAAAAATCTCATCAAAATTGCAAGTATATATTTCGATAAATGTTCCGTTTAAACCGAAATAAAGCAAATTGCAAATTTAAATTCTATAATGACATAGTTCTCAATATTAGAACATAAAGTAAATTAACGAATATAACCACCGTTTACTCTACAAAAAATTTTCTTTGCAAATGTGTGTAACAAAGAGATATTTATTTATATTTATTTATTTTAAAAGTTAATATAAAAGCCCTTTAAAAATCATATTGTCTAAAAAATTTTTTATCGTCAGTAACTACGAACAATGTCGATGATTATCTCTGATCGGTAAACCTGACAGGAATATTATCGACTATATATAAATTATCGTCAGATAGTAATTACGATAGTAATTTGTAATTACCGACCGAGAAAAAAAATTCAATAAAATTTTCAAAAAACTTTAAAATATCAGCAGAATTATGTAATTAGATAAAGAAGACAATCAAAATTCTCATATTTAATAAATTTAAATTTTTTTAAACTTTATGCAAAAAACTTTTATTACAAACGTAGATACAGAGAAACTCAAATTAATAAAATTTAAATTAATAAAATATTAAAGACTACGTGATTAAGAGATACAAACCAAAATTTTGAATTTTGCAATTTTATAAGCTGTATATATTATAATTTTTTTATTTTGGCTAAAAACATAACTATTGTGTCGAGAACATAAAGTAACGCCATCTATGGAGACTGTTCCTTTTCAAAAAGGAAAAATCAGAAAGCTAAATGAGAATTCTCGACATCTACAGAATCACACCTATGCAAATACGAGTTCGCGTGCTGTTCGCATCATGTTTACACTTGTTTATACATAACCTTTCACATCTTTCGAGCATTAGAAAGTGGAGATGCGAAAACATCTTATTGATATCTACTTTGTTTCGGAGATACTCGATCTGGCAATGCCGCATACGATTGACACCGCTCGCTGTCTTCGTTTCGTATATCGCGATTTCATCTGAAAATTTCTTTTATTCTAAATATAACGTCAACCAATACGCGATTAAAGTAATAGTGAAATTATGAAAATAATTCAGTAATTTAATAGAGAGAGAGAGAGAGAGAGATATTTAATCCATCGTTATGTAACATCGGCTATCGAATTCAATTGATGTGTTGCTAACTCGTAAATCTAGTTGAGCAATTTTAGAAATAATCGTGCAAAATGTTAATTTCGAGATTACTACATGAGATTAGTAGAAAGTGGTTTAACATACGAAAAACCACCGGACAGAGCGTACAATCTGCGAAAGATACAGTTTTTCGTGGTGGTGTTGTTATCATTAGCACTGTCTTAATAGTCTGGCTGTCTATATTTCTTTACACGGTTTTTTACTACTCTTACATGCCCAGCATGTCCTATGTACGCCCTGCACATTTGCAATTCAAGTAAGTTCTACATTTTGTGTTAGTTTAGAAGTATGATGAGTACTTTTCAAAGATATCAAAGTCGAAGTAGTGAGCAAAGTCCACAGCATGCTACTTTCGTACAGCTAATATTCATAAAATAACATTTATGTCTAATAACATTTAATGTTTGTCGATAGATGACTGAAATAGTAATATCAAATTATATTAAAATATTTTATTACTTATATTTACAGAATTAATACAGAATAATACAGAATTCTAATACTTATATTTATTTAGATCATGTAACGAGAACAAAGGAATTTGTAGCTTTCCGCAAGCTTATGTACAGCTGACTAAAAAGCAGCAACTTCTTATGGTAGGACAGCCATACAAAATAAATCTACATTTAGAAATGCCAGAATCGCCAGCGAACAAAGAGCTCGGTAAAGTTTTCAATTGTATTGCTGATTTTGTAACAATATAATGTTCTATTAAATGTTAATTTTCTCTCAAGGTATGTTTATGGTTTGCGCGCAGTTACGGAGTCGTGATAGCCATCTCATAGACCATACGTGTAAATCAGCTATGTTACATTATCGTAGCAAATTATTACACACGCTTACAACTCTCATGTTTTCACCTATGATGATTTTTGGGAACATTGAAGAGAAGCAAGACGTTGTTCTTGAATTGTTTAATAACTTTGAAGAGGATCAGGTAAAAATATTAGTAAGATTTTGTGAGTTTAATTTAGTTTGTAATTTTATAAGAAGCATCTACTATCGAGATGTAATTTCAAATATTCCAGAACCATCCAGTAACAATTATATTTATTGAGATTCAATCACGGCATATAGAGTTCTATTCTGCCAATCTGATGATAAATGCTCATTTATCAGGACTACGTTATTGGATGTTTTATTGGCCAATTCTATCAGCCTGTATTGGAATTGGTACAAACTTATTTTTTATAATGCTTGTGTGCACCTTGTCGTACATACATTTTGGAATTGAAGATGAAAATTTTAGTTATGAAAAGAGCGAGACGGAGGATGATAATGACCTCAAGAATGATTGTAAGTTTCTTACAATGTGTTAAATTTATAACATATGATTTCAGAATTATTAAGAAAATTATCTTTTAAAGTGTCAGATACATCATCTCAGGAAGATACATTATCCGTAACAGACCTCAAAAGTGAGGAGAAGAGCATAGAAGAAGAAAAACTTGTTAAGGGAGAACCGAGTTATATCCAGGAAATTTCCACGCTAATGGCTGAGTCATCGAGTAGCGCTTTGGCTAAATAATTAATTATTACGCTTATAGAAACGAGATTAAGTCTGTGTAATATATAAAAATGAATTTTACAAATGATTAATTATATTTATAATTATTAAGAGTAATTTATAATTATTGAGAAATATTAATAAGGAAAAAGGTTATTGAAATAAAATGCATTTTTTTATTTTCCACACGCCTTATATCTAATATCTTTAAACTACATTTATATACGCTACTATTTCCGAGATACCTCTTGACGTCTATCAATATGTCGATCCTACATCAAACTATGTTACAGCAGCAGAAATGCATATGCGTCCTGATGGCACTCAAGGACGGCGAGTTTTTGCAGCATCCTTTGCTCTAGCGCTTCTGCAGAATTCTTGCTTCTAAAAATATAGTTGATACACGACTTCAATTCCAATCATATTTTTTGCATAAATATTTTATGCTTTTGTACTCAACTCTTAATATGATCGAGAATTATTTAAATCGAGCATCTGAATTTTTATTTATTTTCAAGACATTTTTTAAATTACTTCTCGTCCGTACAATATACTTTGGTCTAGCCTGTGTTTTGGATAAGGATTTATGATTGGAAAAATTTTTTGTTTCTCATCCTACGAAGCGTTAAAAAAGTTTTATGAACCCCTGGCCTCCGGCAACCCACAATACAACCGAGCCATGCTGGTTAGATTCATTTATCTTTCAGGAAGGAATTGATTTCATTAAGAAACAAGACACCAATGATACCAAACTGCGGCGCGTTTCATTGAAAAGTTATAATAATAAAAAAGTAATGGAAGTCTGATGTATCTTATATTAACATAATGCTGTTCTCATATTTCAAACATAAATTTGTAGTAACAGATGTTAAGTATAAAAAATTAAATTATCCCACGTTCATATAGTATTCTGTGACATTAAAAAAATTTTTGGATTCTCTCTTGCTTGATACATATGCATATAAAGTTTTCATTTTTAGAAAATATTTTCACATCTTGGAAAGTAGTCGTCTGATAATTGAAAGATATTCGAGTTTTAAACTATGCAAAATATTATTCTTCAGAAGATGCAAAAACATCCGTCGACCTTCGTATACAACGTGATACTGGTTTCACAGGAAGTGTCAAGATCTCAGTAGATTATATCAGCGTAGCGACTAGGGGACCTCAAGAAGCACTGCATTTTCGGATAATCTCTCGAGGGATAAACCGAAGGCATAATTCGGACGCATCGGTGACGCGTTGAGAGACACTGCCTCCTCTGCCTCGAATGACTGGTCGGTTAAGTCGAGATACCGGTCCCATCGTAGAACTAGCCAGGGCTCGCGAGAACCAAGTGTAGCGATAGTCATTCCAGCTTCCGTGAGATCTCATGCACGAGCGCGCGCGCGCGAGTGCGTGCGTGTGCGAGTGCGTGAAGAGCCAAGAAAAAGGAGATGAGGCGCGCGCGGCGACTCATAGAGAAGGGGATAGGAAGCTGCAGGGACTGGACGTCGGAGGAACGGGGTCCAAAAGGAGAAGAGAAAGAGTAAGAGACTGGGAGAGCGCGCGGAGAGATAATTTAACAACCGTGTACAGGCGTTGGTCGTGGTCGGCCGGTTGTGCCCGGCTTCGGTCGTCCTCGCGGAGGCTCGTGAAGGTTCGGGCACGCGAGAACCACGCGCATCAAGGTCGCGGCCATCCACCTTTCCCTCGCGGCAAGTGCACGCGCAGGCTACGCCGTCTCTAACGCCGTACGTCGACGTCGGGGTCCGGCCGACCCGGCGGCCAACGCCGCAACCAAGATGACCGGCTGTCTCGATCCCCAGGGACGCAGCCGGCGATACATAGGCTTCCACGAAGAACAGTGCGGTGATCTTCTCTCTCTCGATTAACATCGCGAACAAGAATCTTTTTCATTATCCATTAGCTTAATTCAATTTCTTTGCGCTCTGCTCTTCTCGTGGGATCTTCTGAGGATCTCATTGTTCTGCGTATAACAATTGTTAAATCTTTGTGGAAATAAGATACTTTTACGAGACATTAGTTTTATTAACGACTTTTTTATACGGATTGCAATTACTACTTTTTTATAGTTAATTCGAGAGACAATGGAGTTATGAAAAAAATTTTTTTAAGCCGAGGTACTTCAATTAGGGTGTAGTCACCTGATTTATTGTGTATCACTTTACTATTTATTTTAAAGAGATCATAAATTATACATATAATAGATACTTTATGTATCTAAAAGCAACACTTGAAATAGTGCGTTGTCTACATAAATTTTAATAATTCTATAAAAACATAGGTTCAAGAAATTAAATCTAAATACATGTAAAATTTTGCCAATAATAATATGATTTTTAATAAAGTTACTTATAATTCACACTAACAACTAGTGTTGGCTCACATTGGTAGTAATTTTACATAAACTTTAATAATTCCGTGCAATATCTCGTGAAGAAAAAAAATAATCGAAAAAACAATGAAAAATATACTGTTCAGGATAATTAAGGGATATCGCTTATTGATACGTGTATCATTTCGAAGATATCTAATGTTCTAGATCTTTCCTTAGTGAACTTCTTCGTATAAACTATGTAATTGTAACTTTTTATGCTCTGGTATTTAGAGCAAGTTACGGAATTATTCAACGATGTAGCATGTTAATTACTGCGAACGGTATATTTTACTGATGCAGACTGAAGAAATGATCGATAGGGGTACGATTAACACGAACTATAAAAGGCTTTAACGTTTGTATTCGAAGTGTAATGAAAAGAAACAGGCTAGTATTTATAAATATATAGTAAATAAACACAGTTCCGGTTGCAATTTTTTAAATTTTCATTATTTATATCAAAGTTACAAAATTTTTTATTATTTTTATAATGAATTGTAGAGTTATGAAAAATGTGCTACTGAAACTGTTATTATTATTTTCACATATTAATAGAATGTTTCATATTATTTAAAGAATACTAATTTCATGGATACACAAAAGTAGAATTTTTTTGAAATTAGTACGTTCTATCAACATAAAAAAAATAGCAGTTCTAGCAGTACTTTTCATGGCTCTTAAGAAAAATAAAAAAAAAAGAGTTCCGTAATTTTTATATTAGGTGTAAAAATCAGTTCGGTCCGTTTTTTGTGTTAAAAAATGCATTTATTTCAAAATAAAATGAATAAATAGATCGATTAATTAAAGTATTGTCCATCGCTGGCTACTACCTTTTCCCATCTCTCAGGCAATTTTCGAATTCCATCTCGAAAAAATGACTCGTCTTTGGAGGCGATCATCTTTTGGAAAACAGACCGAACTAATTTGTCCTCCCAAATATTAAAAACCAAAATTGAAAACATGATGTGCTAACTGAATGTTTTTGTTTACACCCTAAATTTTTTAAATATCGCGGTACTCATTTACGAGGAATTAAGCAGCAGGCTGCGGCCCTGACTAAGAGAAAGGTGCTGTGAGCGGAGTTCGTCCTTCGAGAAGAAGCTGGGTCCAGAACTAATCGTCAAAATATAAGGGAGCTCGTCGAGCCACCTGCTCGATTCGATAGGTTACAATATACATCAGTGAGAGGATATAGCACTATATTGCAGAAAATTATGGTGAGGCGCCGCGGACGTTGAGATGTTGCCGTCGTCTTTGCCGCGTATCTCGTATTATACTTAAAAAACGAGATTCCACGAGCTAATTTCCTTTAAATTCCGCACACGCAGACAGATGTGTGAGAAACACGCGCGTGTTTTGCGAGCGGCTAAAATCAATAAGCACGCGATCCGTAATCTGCAAGGATGGGCAGAGGATAGGATTGATGGCGTATAGCGCGTATACAATCGTACGCACCGATAGATATACTCGAAATCGCTTCTGAACCATCCAAGCGTGCGAAATCGAGATAGGCGTTGTACAAAGGAATATTCTCAAACTTTCCTACGTCCTATTCGCGCATCGTATCGAATTTGAACTGGCCATTCGCAAAATCTAACATAACGCGCGCGCGCGCTCGCGACTTTGTTCCCGCGATTTTCCGCGCGGCGGCGTACCGCGGCCAGTTCCCCAGCATCATCATCCGGTACGATCTATCCGCCTATTTTTTTCTAGCCCCATTACACGTAATGGTGCAATTTGTGTGTAATGCTGGAACTCGGACGCTTCCGCCGATCCTCGGCTGCGTCCGGCCACGCGAGCAACACGCGATCCGACCTGGACCGGTTCGGGGAACCTGTACCCTTCGGAGTCTGCGGAGGTGCAAAAGGGGGAGAACCGGTTGCCGCGTATCTTTCCTACCTGCCGACCTGCGTATATAAACCCCACCCTTTCAACCTCCTCAATCTACCTCGCCCTCTTATTCCGTCGCTCTCCGTGTGCTCATACACGCTGATTTTTTGCCAAGAGAGGAGCAGGAAAGAGAGGAAAGAGCGAAAGAGAACTGGGAGCAGCCGGCAACGGAAGCGGGGTGGAGGAGATCGGAGCGAGGTATAAGCGGCACCAGAAGATGGCCGGGGGGTTTGACCCTGCCAAGAATCCCGCATCTGCCTCTGCTCTCTCTCTCTCTCTCTCTCTCTCTTGCCAATCCCGCGCTCCGTCCGGCGGCTAATTTGCCGTCTCCGACTGACCGTGGAACCTGTTAGCGCAGCGAAATCAACGCGAAGATACAGCCGAGAGAGAGAGAGGCGGTTCGAAGATAAACAATCCGTCCGCTACAATGGCCGGCAAAAATATAGCCGATTAATAGATCGAAATCATTCAACGTCTCTGTCTTCCCGCAACGACGTTGTCCTGCGTTCCCTACCGCTTGTACGATTTATTATTAATCCCACCAGTTTAGTATGTGCTTAACGGTTTTTTTTTTTTATATACATAATCCCCCGTCGGCAATTACCAGGCTCCGTTAACACACACGTCAATATCTTCATCTCGCCGACGAAAATATCAAGGCGCAAAGAATTTAACACGAGCGTTTATGATTTCGAGTTCTTATCGCGATAATCACGTTCAAAGAAAACTTGGACGAAACGGATAAGGGCGAAGGACTTCGTTATTGTTA